CTCTCCCTCTCGCTCTCTCTCTCGCTCTCTCTCCCTCTCTCCAAAGAAAAAAAAAGTAGCATATCGGTGCTAAGGAACAACCAGTAAATGAGTTGAGGAGCTTCATGTCGTGCTGTGCCGCCATCTTGTGGCATCTTTGTGCAAAAGGAACTACAGTGAATTGAGGTGAAGACCTTCATGTAGTGTTTTGACAGCATCTTGCGGTGTCTTGGTGCCAAGGCACTATGTCAAAATAAGTTGAGGAACTTCATTCAGTGCTTTGCCACCATTTTGTGGCCTCTTGGTGCCATGGGATTATGCTGAAGTGAGGTGAGGAGCTTCATGTAATGTTTTGCTATCATCTTGAGGCATTATGTGCAATTAGAAACCTTTTTTGGGGGGGTTGGGGTCAATTACTTACGTTTTTTTACCAAGTTTTTTTTTTTTCCAAACACAGGAAATCAGAATCAGGAAGACTATGATACAATCAACTCTAATTTTGGATTAGTTCCTGATTTTTATTGATCAATGCTTCAATTAAAATAGGCATACGTTTAAGACAAGGCGGCTTTGTAATGGTGAACGTTAATTTGGCAAAGACTGTGGACTGGATCAACAATGCACATAGCCCAAAACTCCCACTATGAAACCCTCGATATTTGTTTTTTCTTTTTGCGTGTGGTAGATCTTCAGAGAACTTTGAAACTATCCGCCTTGTTCTGGGTGTGGTGCAATTCATCTTTTGGCAATCTATTTGTATTATTTGAAGGTAATGATGGTCATTTCCTTATCTTACAGTTTTGAGTCTGGGTCGTTTGATGATGTAACAACTCCGAGCATGGAGATAAGGAAATAATACGGATACAATCGTCCCACTCTTGCCATGCACTCGGACAGACTGTGGCCTGGGATGTGACCAGCTTGGTATATCCACAACCTGCCCCATCCACTCAATCCTTTAGATATTAGATGGCACACAGTGTCCCTGTCATTTCCTGTTCATCATCTTTTCCTGCAGGCTGCTTCTATATAGACCAATGGCAGTGACACATAACACAATATCCCCCCACCCACTCCCTCGGTCACGCCCGAAGCATAAACACATGAGCAACATGTACAGCTTTAAGCGTTGTTGACACACTTAAATCACATCTAATGCAGTAATGTGGAAATTTTCGTGACATTTAAAGCAAAACATTCAAGTTTTCTCCACCCAGCCATGTGCTTCCTTACAATCCAGGCTTTCCTGTTTTAATCACGTTAGCCATTACCAGAGAAGCAAAGTGAGAAGAAAAGTGATGCACGCACTGCTCTGCTCTGTTCTGTTCGATAAAAAAAAGTCACGGGACCACTCGCGAGAAGTGGACAGAGTCTTGCTCGTGTCACAACCCTGAGTCACTGTAGAAGCATTAAGCAATGCAACACATCCAAATATGAAAATTGACATGCCAGAACCTTACTATTCATCCAATATGCACGAGTCATGGAAATAAAAAAGTTTGTTTTGTTTTTGTTTTTTGAAAAGGTGAATTTACAATAGCCTCCAAAGCTGCACACACACACACACACACACACACACACACACACACAAACTGGTTTGAGTGCAGTGCAGTGCAGTGGTTTCTCTGGCAAAGGCAGCCAACCACACATCTTACTTGACTGACAATCTAATGAGACTCAACACAATAGCTCGACAAAAAAACAACCTACACTGCATCAGAAAACTATTCCCAATATGTAGCTAATCAAGGTTAAATGGGGTGGGATCATATTCCAACATACGGTTGTTGTTTTAATCACACAATATTGTTAAATAATCAAAACTACACCGTTTTTAATACAGGGCTCACTGCTTTCCATGTGTAGTCAATGTTGTGGCTGGTAATAATTTCAATGAGACAATAGGAAGCTACTGTATACAAGGGAAAACGATTGCCGAGTAGTCTCATCGTACTTTGATCATATCGCTCTTCACAAGAATCATTCCACACTTCAAGGCCTCTGTCAATTAAATGGCTGCAACTGCCAGCACGTCACCCTGGGGAGTGGGTTGGGATGGAGTTCTTCATCAGAACCGGCAGGGATCATTTCGAGTTTGATAGCATCAGGCACGAGAAGACATTTCCCCCGTACTTTGTTCGTGAAACTGGCAGCGGTTAATAAGACCCTGTGCCAGAAAATTATTCAGGAAAAAACGTCCCCACAACAAGAGCCTAACGATGAAGTAAATTATGCAGATTTCTCGTTGGTAACGCTCCAGCGGCGAGAAATCTAACAACGGAAAATCAAAGTAAAGCTGTAAATGGTTGTCAGGGTTTATTTGACGCAGACTTTGTGGAAGACCAAAAGCTAGAAGAGAACAAAGGAAACATTGCTGGAAGAAATTCTTTTTTTTGTTTCAAACACAAATCAGCATGAAATATCAAATGAACATACAGCGTATTGCCCTGCCAAAATTGTAAAACATGGCAACAACTTCAAAATACAACAGTTCCTCACTATAGATGCCAAGTATCATTTTGAGCAAGCTCGGTTCCACAGCATGCCACAACACTGATGAGTCAAAAAGATCTCATGCGAAACCAACCTTTGCTTAGGTGATGGCAGGTTATTTCCACGCAAGACGCCACACATCCATCTGAATTCAGGCCTACAAGTGCAGCCTGAGTACAGCCTCCAATTTAATGCCCTTCGTCCCAAAGGAAATGGGCTGTCTCGCTCAGGAAACCAATTCAGAGCGGCAACACGAGTCGAATCAACAGACGCCTCATACGCAGTTTAAAGTATAAACTCGTGCATTGCACGCTATTCATGTCGTAAGAGAAGAATGAACTTGAATTCTTGTTTTGGTTGACAAGAACGCACGGTGGCGATTTGTTTGTTCTGTAAAAGCCTACTGGTGCCATCTAGTGGTCATAGCCTCAAACTGAAAAGTTGTCACAAAAGTAAATAAGATTAATTCGCCAACAAATTGCTTTATTTGCGCTATTTGTAGTTGAGTCACTTGTTTGACGTCAAACAGTAATTAGCAGAAACTGTGTATACTAAGGTTTAACGGACCAAAAATTGCATCTACTTGTCTCTCACCGTTTTTACGGCCTTTCTGTGTGGAGTTTGCATGTTGTCCCTGTGCCTGCGTGGCTTTTCTCCGGGTATTCCGATTTCCTCCCACATTCCAAAAATATGCTTGACAGGTTAATGGAACACTCTAAATAGTCACTAGGTGTGAGTATGAGCGCGAATAGGCTCCAGCGCTGGTTTTCCATCTATTTATGTTAATATAAATACTGTTCATTAGTATTTGAAAATATTGATCTATATTCGCTCCGATGTCCCACAAGAATCCTACATCCTCAAAGTTTTCTGATAGTGAGCCTAAGAGCCACAGGAAGAGGCTTTGCTGAATTGCTGATGAAGTTTAAAAAAGAATGTTTATGCTACACACGTTTTCATAAAATATATTTATGTGAGTATTTGTAGGTTGACACTTTATAGGTGCTCGATTTCGTTACTTTCCTCCAGTCTGCTGCATGGCCATCTCTGTCTGATTTCAGGAGCCAATAAACCAAATGCACTACGCCTGTCTGCCAAAAGAGTGCAGCATTCACTCTGTAAAGGATCATTTGACTTCAACATGGACAAAAAAAGGTTTGAATACAGATTTATCGTGGAGGATTTTGCTTCTTTGCTCAGCCCAGTGAATAATATAATCTATTCTTCAGTCGTGGAAGCCAAAACTGGGGCCACACTGTGAATCGCAGAGTACCCGCATCCGTGCCATGCTGCATACCACCCTGAAAGTCTGGAGACACAAGACAAGACAGTAATGTATACTGTACAATCTGTAACCCTCACAGCAATTTGGACACATCACACATTGGTGTATGCTTCCAAAAGCAGAATTTCAAGAAGTTTGATCAGTGTTTGACCACTATCTGAACAGATATCATCACCTGCTTGTTTCAAAATCCTACTCTTTCACCATTGCGTGAAAGGTTGCCATAGGAACCATCGCCTTGGCTGTGGCATGCCATGTTACCCCAAGGAGAAAGCCCACTCACTGTGTATATAAGGCCTTTCAGACCCATTGTTGCTAGGAGATGATCCCGAAAGCTTGTAATAGTAAACACAATCTAATCGAAATGATCCAATATAAATGCCATGCATGCATTTTCTTCCAAACGTGGCATTTGTATTAGATTCACCCCGCTTGGAAAGATACTACATAATGTCTTTAACTGTAAAAAATATTTTTTAAAACGCTGTCAGAAAGATAAATTGACTGTACAGATGCATTTTCAAATGGTGTGCTTAGAAAACCAAAACCGGTATAAATCATTTGACACGTTTTGAAAGTTTGGTATTTCGCTCAGGGGATCAACGGTTCAAAATTTCCATTTTCATCACTCGTGGTATGCAAAGATGAAATCGTCACGAACAGGGTTCGAACCTGTGCGGGGAAACCCCATTGGATTTCGAGTCCAACGCCTTAACCTCTCGGCCATCGTGACTTCGTTAAAACCGAGTCATTATTTCCTTTTTGGAGGCTTCAATTAAAAGCCGGAGCGTTTCATTGCAACTTTTGTATTGGATCTCATTTGAGGTGTACAATGCTGGTGCCGTACTCATGTTAAAACATTTATTTATTTACATGTCCTGTTGGAGAGGAGTTGGTCTAAAATCCAACGGAAATGTTGTTTAGAACAGCGATAAGTGACGCTGCTCAGATGTTTTCCTCTCATTCCTGACAGCTCAAGTCCCAATGGTGGCTTCAAGGGTTGAATCTACATTAAAATGGGACGGGAACAATGGCCACAGTAATCCAAAAAGACAATTCACATTGAAAACGAATGTACAGATGAGCAGTTTTAATGCGCTATATAATTCTCTCAGCCTATCAGCTATGCTTGTCTCAAATGGAATGAGAGGTCAGATAAAACCAACGGAAATGCCTCAAAATTGAGCTTTTTCCAGAGACGTCTGGCTGGCTATTCAAGAAACTCATTTACAACTTTGATGGGATGAAACCGGGTTAAAAAAAAACAAGTCCTGTTTCCACAGTCTTTTACTACTAGCAAACTCAATACAATGACAATAATACTCACTTGAAGTGAAAATGTATTTTGGGAAGAAATGTGATGAGGGATCCATATTTCATGAATTTTGCAATTAAATATGCAGATTAGATAAGACCTTGAGGGATTGAAACAGTGGACATGCCCTGTAAAAAAAAAATGGCTGCTAAATAGATCACCATCTGGTTATGCCACTTTTAGCACATGAGCCCATTATGAATGTTGTTACATAAGCCCCCTCAACAATGCTGAGCTATTTTGCTATCTTTTTACGAAAGGTTCAGATGGGACTAAATATTTCATCCAATAAATAATTTAAATTTACATTTTGATTGGCTGCTATTTTTACTAAGTAGGTTCTCAGCCACCGAAGGACCGTTGACTATCGATTAAACATGGTGGAGGTAATGTCATGGTTTGGACTTGCATGGCTGCTTCTGGAATGGGCTCATTTTTTTATGTAACTCACGGGGTTGCAGCAGAATGAAATTTGAAGTCTACAAAAACATTTCATCTGACAATTTACAGAAAAGAGCATTCAGTGTAATCAGGAGAAGCTTTATCATCAAGTCAAGTCCAACTTTGTTGTCAAATGTGCTACAGCACAGATGAAATTTTCCTCCCTCGTAAACAGACAACAGACAACAAGAGGACAGACAACATAAAATGACAAAATACTACAACACAACACATAAACCAGACAGTCGTGCCATCTTAACCGCTTTTCCTCCATTCACTTTGTTGTTTGAAGCAGTTATAGATGAAAGAGGAGCGAATCAAAGTGTCCTTTTCACCAGTGGATCAAAGATGTCATGCTGCAATGTGCACACGTCTGCTACAAGCTAAGCTTGAAAGCAACAAGGAGCCGTAGCATCCATTAACGAAAAAGAGAATTGGTTCTCTTCTCCTGTCCCGAGTAAATCGGCTTCAACATGCAACAAGACAATGACCCAAAGCACACTGCAAACACAACAAGGGACTTTAGCAGGTGAAAAAAGCAGATGGTATGAGACTGGCCAAGTCACTCACCATATTTGAACCATATTGGGCATGTCTTTCACCTTCTGAAGAGGAGACGAAAGGGAGAAACCCCCAGAAACATACAAGAACTGGAAGAGGCTGCAGTAGAGGCCTGGAAAAACATTTCAAATGAAGAATGAGACAGTCTGATCAACTCAACGGGTGGCAGGCTTGATTTCACTATTGCAAGTACAAAGGTTATAAAATGTTACTCTCCTCAGATTAATTTAATATTTTTGCTCATTTGAAAAGTGGCTTCAAACAAAATATGCTCTGTTCCGAGTTGTTTAGCACATCTTGATGTAAAAAAAGCCTGAAATAAAATTCTGAACTTTTGTCTGATCTTCATCTTTTGATCAGAAATCCATTCAACAAAAAAACAAAGGATGAGTGATTGAGCAACCCCCCCCACACACACACACACACAAGTAGGTTATCAGTCCTTTTACTTTCGAAGAGAGTCTCAGTAGGCTACTTTCTTGAAGTTACTAAAGGGGGGGGAAACTATTTTGTGAGCAAAGTTATCAAAATGGATCAGTAAGTTTACTTGCACCACAGTAGTTTAACTTTTTACACAACTATCTGTACTTGGGTACAGTACTTTCCTACTCCTCTGATGGTGGTGGGGGGGGGGGGGTCTTGTACGGACAGTTAAAAAAAAAAAGCAACTGCCCACGCCTTGTGTGGCAAGTCGTCGTGTTTCCGTAGAGAAAAGAGAGTTGGAAGGTGGACCTAAGCAGGCAGAGTACAGTCGAGTAGTAGCGGGTTCTGTCCTGGAATGCGCGCGCGCTCCCGAGGCACTCCCTTACCCCGCCAGCGTCACCACCGCCACCCCCGTGCGTACGAGCACGCGATCCCGCCGGCAGGTCTGCTGGGAGAGCGAGGAGGCAGGGCGACGTTTCGGGGAATGATGGCGCTGAGCTGGGAGAAGAAGGGACAACTTTGACACGGTTAAACGGTGACGTCGTGGGCGAGCTTTCGGCGCCTCACGCCATGAAGCGGGTCGGAGGTGAGAGTTGTTTCGGTTCGTTTGTCTTTCTACGGATTCGGTTTTGCCCTTTTTTTTTTTTTTGTGAATGTTCGTGGTGGAAACTACACACGCATGTACACGCACACTCTTCGTGACTTGTTCAATGAGCGTCGGATACATTGGCGCTGCTTTGAACGAGTGGCCCAGAAACTTACACGTCTACATTTATTACTACCATCAAAACGAGTTTGACGACTAATGGATAAAGTTGTTGCTTGCAAAGTTAGGACTTTAGCTTCTGCAGCAGATAACAATCGATTCGCACAAAGCTAACCAAAGTGACAAAAGGCTTCGCAAGTTAGCCCAAAAATGCACCGATAGTTAACGATTGCCTAATGTGACCCAATATTACGAGACGCTTTCGGGAATATTTTATTCGATTTGTCAGTAGAAAAACACATCTCGCATATTAATCGGAGAATTGTGCGCCTTCTCGGGGAGTTCGAGACATCATTTCCGCTGTTTTTTTTTTTTTTTTTTACTCACGGTATTTATCACAAGTATTTATCGATCGTCTTTTGTACTGAAGTGTCTCACAAAACCAACCAAGAACATACACAACATCAAAAAAAATGTTTTTGAACATGCTCAACGGAAGATACACAACAGAAAAATAGTAAATACAGTAATCCCTCGTTTATCGCGGTTAATGGGGACCAAAACCAGCCGCGATAAACGAAAATCCGCGAAGTAGCGACCAATTAGCATATACAGGTGAAAAAAACAAACATTTTTT